AAGCCTTTGACCGACCGATATCGGTCACGGTTATGACCGGTTATGACCGGTCATGACCATAACCATTAGCATCCCTACTCCCAGCCTACATAAAATTCAAAAAATTATTATTGGAAAGAATCCTCTGATGCCTGTTTTGTATTATTTAGACAAATTAGGATCTCAGCATCCCTTTGTAAGAGAACAATTAATGCATATTAAGAAAGAGTTTATGTTGCCTCTTAGGTGGGTATTGAAAGATAACTGAATACGCATAAGGTTTTTCTTATAAAAGTTTCTAAGTCTACGCAGTAAGGGATTATAATAAGAATTACTCCTTTCCAATAACATAACACTTTCTTTTTTCAATCATGCCAGATTTGTACATCTAGATTCATCTGTTCTTGCAGGTGAAAAAAATGTATGATTTGATAATATTAATTACTACTGTATTCAAAAGCCAAGCCTAACTCTTCATTATATCTATCTAGGTTGTAAACCTTTTAAAATTTAGGTTTTCTGAGTGAGAATTTTTTATTTAATAAATCCTCAAATATACACCAGCATGTTCTTTCTATACATTGGACAAATATTACATCATCTATGATTCTGTTTCATATTATTATATGACGCTTCCCATTGATAGCCCTTTTTACATATCTATATATAAATGTTAGAATTACTACTAACTCTGACTAAGCATCTTCCTTCATGTTTTTAGGCATAAGTTAAAGCTTTGGTATCAATTTTGTTATAATATTACATTTTATAAACGTAGAAGAATTGATCTAAACATATGCAAATCCAGATTGTTAGCTTAGAAGTAGAATTAAACTTGGCTACTAGTATTACATAAGCAAAAAAAAAATATCTTCAGTATTTTTAGCGAAAGTAAAATCGGGCTTCTGCCTCATATTAATATCAAGAATTAGACGCAAAAGCAGATTTCCATTGATGCATTCATGAGAATCAGGTAATCTATAAATCTCAGAAAGATGATCAACTAGTGTAAAATCCTTTTCAGATACTCGAATAATATATTTATCAAAAATCTCTTTAGAATGATAAGTGCCTAAAAGAGTGATATTATCTTTACTATTAGTTTTTAATAAATGTTAAAAATATGTATGATCATTATAGCCTAGCTCAAAATCAAAGTCTGCTATATCTAAAAAGAGCCTTATTGCTTCATTTATTTTTTCAGATTAGATTCGAAATTTTTTTGTACAAATAGCATGATAGGTATGTAGAGGAAGTTAATATAAAATTACATAGAAAATCCCAAATTTTCAAAATAGAAATTTTGAGCTAATATGATTGTTAGCAAAATACTAGGCCATTAGTAGTACATAAAAGTAATCAATGTATTAGTACCTTAAAGTAATACCCAAAAATAATCAGTGCATTAATATCTTAAAGTATCTCAGAATAATAACTATATGAGAAAGGGTTCTAGGAATGTAAGGGTAAAAAATAAAGTATAAATTTGGTAGTATCTACAAGTAGAATAATATATGGAAGCTTTGCAATAAAAAGGGAGGAAACTCTAAAAAAATTTTTTTTTAAGTTAATGTTAAATCTGAACTTATTTTACAAAAAAAATCATAATTAGCTTAGAAAGTAAAATTTTAATTTTTTTAGAGTTTCCTCCCTTTCTATTGCAAAGCTTCCATATAGGAAATAAAATAGAAAATTATGTTTATATATATTAATGGCAATAAGCAGGAAAGAGGTTGAAAAGATGAAAAGGCTTAGGAGAATATACGAAAAAAGGATATAAAAGCTGTAAATTCTAAACCAATTCTGCATTTCGTGTCTCATCCTCAGTAATCAAACAGTAGGTGAATAGATTGTAACACATCTTTAGCAAATAGATGGATTGCAAATTCAGCACTTCATGCCTTATCCAGCAATCAAGAAATAGCAATTGAGAGGAAAGCAACTATGTGAAGGTATTCTGGCATCAGAACAGTATCACGTGACTATAACACAGTAAGACGCAGTATTAATTTGCTTATTTTCAGCTAACACCATTCTATAAATTTAGACAGAAGTTTGGATATAATAATTCAGCATCCAAGCTAGCATAAAACTGGCGAACTAATAAAATTTCTCTGGCATTCTGCCAGTTCTATAACAATTTCCTATCAGTTTCACAATAGTTCTATGACATTACTACAGCATTATCATGGAGCTAAGCAAATCATATACCCAAAAGATTGTCTAGAATTATGATATAATAGCAGCTAAAATTAAACGTGAATTTACTGCACTATTTGACACATTTTTTTATTGCAATTTAGAATTTTAACAGGTAAACAAGCAGGTGCAAAAAAAAGCATTTTCAATATCTTAATAGACCACCAAACAGGTCTAAAAGCAGAAAAATAAGTGGATAGCTCTTTAGGAATAAAAGAGCACAAAACATTGTAAACACATTAATAGTTCTTTGATAATAAAAAGAGAACATAGCAATAAAATTAAGTAGATAGCTACAAGGCAATAAAAAGACCACAGAATAATAAAAACAAGTAGATAGCTATAAGACAATAAAAAGGCCATAGAGCACTGAAAACAATAACAAGGTAATAGTTTAACAGTAACTAGGTAACAATCTAACGCAACTGGATTACACTTTTATAAAAGTGTAATCCAGTATTTTTTTAAATATATTATAAAATTAACTTTATTTATTTTTAGCATAAAAAAGTATTAGCAATGAGTCAGATTCATGGTGATATAATATATAATCGTTGAATTAATGAACTACGCAAAACAAATCAGCAAATAAAATATTTTTATATTGCTACTCTAATTGTATTAGATGATGAAACTGAAATTAAAGAATCCAATATAATTGATGATGATTGGAAAGTAAATGATTTAGAAGAAACTAATAATCAAGATGAAGATAGTTTTAAGAAGGAAAAAGAATTAAAAAATAATAATGAAATGGTAAAACCTATTGAAAAACATGAATTTTAATAGAATAATTTAATATATGAATGATTAATATAATTCAAAAAGAAAATCAATTTGATAATAATGATGATAAAATTTTTTTAAATAGAAAATGAGATATAGATTTTAGAGTAGGAAAAAGGCAAATTCATCCTGCTGATGAACTAAAAGCAAAGTGAAATTAGAAACTTTGTTTATTACTAATTTAGATGAACCAGCATACAGTCAACCCTTGATATAACGAATTTTATGTCCTGAACTTCAACTTCGCTATAGAGCTATAGTGAATTTTTTAAAGAATTTGATTGGCTAGTTCATTATAACGAGGGTAAATTTAATATAGTTGTCCAAAAAATTCGTTATATAAAAATTCGCTATAGAGAGGTATGACTGTATATAGAAATAGATTTTAATATTTTTTTGTAATCTGATTTTTTAAACTAATAAAAGTTTAAGTTATAATAAAATATTCTATATAAATTTATATAATAATTATTTATATTATATTTATTATATTTTAATTGGTTATTATTATTAATTACATAATTTTGATCATAAAATTATATAGTTTTTAATTAATAACTAATGATTAGTCATTGGTCATATAAGTCATAAAGGTTATTAAGGGTTATTGTCTAATACTGGAAAAAATATGCCTTATTCTTGGTATTGCTCTTGATGATAAAAAAATTCACCCTAGGACTGGTAATCTGCTAAGACATTTTTTGAGGTATTAAGATGTTTGAAAGAGATAAAAAAATACACAGAACTCAAAATGTAGTAGTATTTAAATAATTTTGATTAGAATTTTAAATGCAATAACTTGGCATCCAAGCTGACATAAAAGTGATCTAGAACTGGCAAATTAATAAAATAATTTTAGCTTTCTACCAGTACTTTGCCAGTTTCTTATTAATTTCATAATACTGTTATGACGCTATCATAATGCAGAATTGGATCCTCAAATCATGTGCTCTAAAAATCAGCCAAAGTTATGCTATAGAGCTAACTAAATTAACTACAAATTTACCATATTACTGATACAAATTTTTTTTATCACAATTTGGTATTTAAACAGGTAATCAAGCAGGCATAAAGGGTAAGCATCTCAATATAAAACTGAGAATCCATTCAAACATAGAAGGCCAGTACTCTCAATATAAAACTAAGTATCTAAATAGCTACAGAAGACCAACAACTCCCAATATAGAATTTGGTATGTAAACGACTCAGAAATAAAAGTAAAGTGTAGTATTTAGAATGAAGGGTTAGTGGTATTTAGATTATAGCATGATAATAAAATCATATATAAAAGAAAATCATAAATAGCAGAAAAAGTATAAATAGATAGCTAGAATATAAGAAAGGATAACATCAAAAGAAAGTAAGTAGTTAAAGAGTGGTAATCAGATTATGTATTCAGATTAAACATGATAATTAGATCATAATCATTAGATTAAAACATAATATTTATATTATTAATTACTTATTATATTATGAATTATATTATTAGTTGTTTACATAATCTAATCTAAGTAAGATATCACGCTTTAACATAATTATGTTAAAGTGTGATATTTCACTATAGATTATGAATAATATAAAAATGAAAAGATTTATTTAAAACATTAATATTTATTTATTAATAATAAATTGAACCTTGCTTATAAAACTTATTGTGATTAAACAATATGAATTAATATAGTGATATATGATCCTGAATTATCAGTAACTGGCAGAGAGTATCAAAAGGTTTAATTTTAAGCATTATTGGCAAAATCTGGGCTAGTGCCTAGTGTAGGTTACCAAAAAGGCCTTAGTGATATGTGAAGACCTTTGAAAAGGTTAGTATAATAGTCTTATGACTACTTCAGCTGTATAATCTCATTTATTCACTATGACTACTGATAAAAAAAGACTTATATAAATATTAGAAATTTTTTAATATACAATTTCTGGTTAAAATTAGATTTTTAAATAATAAGAATAAAAAATATAATTTTTTGGGATAAAAAAAGGGAAATACAATATATAAAAGGATATTATAGCTTGCAATATATAATAGTTATTAATTAGAAAATTTACAAGAAAATGCTAATAATATATAAATGTTTATAGAAAAAGTATTAGTAAAAAATTGGTAGAATATGCTATAAAGAAATATAAATCTTATAAAAGAGTTTCGGATAGTATTTTAGAATAATTAAATAAAATTAAAGTAAATTAGATGATTATCTTTTAACTAATTAAAATTGAAATATTATGTAAAGATCAATAAAAAATTTCAGACTCTTTAAAGAATATAAATGTTTTATATTTATAATAATTATTATTTATAAAATTTTTAAATAATTAATTTTATAATATTAGTAATTTTATGTTACAAATATTTTAAATATTATTATTTAAATGGAAAACTTAAATATAAAAAATTTTATAATAATAATTAAAGAAAATTTAAATATTTTTATAATAATATAAAATATATATATAATATTTAAGAAATTAAATTTATTGTTATATTAATAGATTTTCTAAATTTATCAAATAGATATTAAAATAAAATTTTTTGATAAAATTAATAAAAATGTGTAATTTAGAATTAAAAAATATATAATAAAATATGATTTAATAAAAGATTCAATAAAACAAAAAAGTATTTTAGCAAAGTTTTAAATATATAATAAAATTAATATTTTAAATAAATTAAGTTTATATATATAAGAACATTAAAAAATTTCATGAATATAATAAATAGCATATTTTTTTATAATATCCTAGATAGAAGTTATTAAAGAATATTACTAACTAAATATTAGCTTTTATTCTATCAAGCAAATTTTTTTTTAAAAAAAAAATATTTAGATATATTATATTAAAAGTGAATACGGTATCTTTTTTGAACCAATAATATTTATAAAGTTTCTATTAAGACATTTCTAATTACACGATAAAATGATCATGTGATTTTATATTAATTTCTTAAGCGGTGAAAAAATAAAAATGAGTTTAATGCTAAATTGAACATATTTTAGCCTAAAAATCATTTTTGGCATATGAAAGTAAAATTGATTTTTCACGGCAGTTTCCCCCTTTTCTATTGCAAAGGTAATATCAGATTCATACTTGTTATTATAAATAAATTGTCTCCCATAGTAAATTGGTTTTTGTTTTTCATTGGTTAATTAATTTATATTACAATTTTCCTTAAACAGTTCATCAATAGAACCTTAATTATGTTCTTTAAAGTAAGGATAATCAGAACAACAAAATTTTTGGATTTTGATGGATAAATAGACGGGTTTGAGAGACCTCGATGAAAGAAACATTTTAGATGCGGTGAATTTATACAATGGGGGTTGTTTACAAACAGAGATCAGCTGATTAAATTTCAACATCAAATAGTCATGTGATTACCTTTCGAACTTCAAAAAAAAAACGATACTCAAATCTGTCTTATATGATTTGGCTAAACCTAAATTGATCCGAAAATAAAAAGTGATCATTATTTAAATTAGTTTTTTTTGCATGTCATTTAAAAAGGAAAGGTGTTATCTAATAGAGTGTCATTTGAACGAATATCATATGATTTTTTTCTTTTGGATTTTTATGCTAATCAAATTCAAGAATAAATTTAATTTTTAAGAAATTACTGAAAATGCCATTATATCATAATTATTTAATAATTAATTAATTATCTAATTATTCAATTCTATTTAAAGTTAACCAAGTTTGATAAATGCAACATGGAGAAGCCTTAATCAATATTGAGGGTTTATGGTTACATTTTTATAGTGTAACGAATTAAGCAGTTAAAATTCAGCTGAAATATAATGTCGAAACCATCATAATTGGTCTCTGTACCAGTACAAACTTAAAAGAAAAAACAAATTTTAATGTAAACATTTCGATGCTAATCTTATTAGTTTGCTTTTTTATTATTTATTTTTCCCTTGAACATTTTGAAGCTTTATTTGTAATGTGTTTTTTTAAAGTTTCCCATTTTTTTTCTTAAATTAGGTTTTCATATTTATTTATTTTTTTGAAATTCTGAACCAATGAAACACGATAAATTTATGCAAGGGACATAAAAAGGGCAAATGAGTACGTTTTTAATCAACTGCAATTTATATATTTATATTCAATGAAATAATAAATGTATCCACCCAATAGGTACAATGAAATAAAGAAAAAATTAATTGAAAAAATTTTTTTATATTTTCTCGTTTTTTTTTTTATTTTATTTTATTTTTCATTCACAAGAAATGTTACAATTTTCTAACGATATTCAAAATAAACCAATCGTTGAAATGAGACTAACCGGTAAATGGTCATTAATTATCAAGATAAATTAGGCAATTCGTATGGTTGCTTCTTTTACTAATTCAACCTTGTCGAATTCATATTTTGCACGTGTTTTGAATCATGTTTGTTAATTGCCTATATGGTTTAAAGTTTAGGAGAGTTTTTCGTTTAAAGTGAAAGTATGGTAACCCACCATGGTTAGGAGAGGAGTACAAACTATTGCGAAAGAATTTAAGTCGTCGGTAAGAAACGAAAAAGATTATAATGACACGAGAGAGAAAACCGTTTTATGTTAAATTAAAAAAAAACGTAACCTTGCGCAATTTTTTTATAAAAAAAAAAATGGTGGTCGAAAACAAAGAAATCGTATATATTATTACTGTAAAAAAAATATAATAATCAGGATTGAAAATGATGATGATGATAATAATAATAATAATAATAATAATACAATTATGAGATTAATAAAGTATTTCCATTGTTATTTTTAAAAAAAAGAGAGGAAAAAAATTTTTTTTTAATTAGTTCATACACCGTTTCCTTTAAATAAATAAATATATTTTTTTTTTTTTTTTTTTTTTGTATCGTGTAATATTTATTATATACATTCGCTTCTTTATTTGTAACAATATTTTTTCATTATTTAGTAAATTCTATTCATATTAAATCCCATTATTCCAAATGTACTGAATAATGTTTTTGTGATAAATTAGGAAATG